TACATGTATTGAGGAAAAATTAATGTTTTATAATAGTTTCATAAAAATATTCAGAAAAATGGATTGTATAGGTATAATTGAACGTGACTTTTGTATTAATATTTTATTATTTCCTCAAAATATGTAATTTGAAAGTGAAAACTATTGTTTGTCATTGTTTTAGAAAACTGCCCGTTGTTTTGGTTTGGTTTGTTTTATTGATTTCTTGGAACGTGACATCCTTTAGTATTTCTTAAAAACGAAGTAAAATATCAACTTATTAGGCCATTTTTGTTTATGGTAAATATGTACTAGGTAATTTTATTAACAAATATAATTATTAGAATTTCATTAGACTTTAAGCACTTTCATCAAAAATAAAAAATATTGTTCATAATAGAGTATCGTCTTCCGGATCGTCTTCACAAGAGGAAAACCTTTTTTTATTATTGATATTTTGGGAAAAATGCATTTTTTATAAAAAAAAATGTTTGTTCTAGAATGGTTAATCGGGATTAACCATTATAGAACAAGCAAATTTTTATAATAAAAGCATGTTTGTCAAAATGGTTAACAATAAAAAAGCTTTTCCTCTTGTAAAGACTCACCGGGGACATACTAGTGATGGGCATTACGATTCTTTTTAGTGAATCGAATCACACGATTCAATTTCTGATTCGTTCATTTGAACGAACCACATGCCCAATTTACGTTTCATAAAAACAAGAATCGTAACTGACACTACCGGCGATAATAGGTCTGTTCCCAGAAGAATCTCTGACTAGTCAGCGCGTTTCTTATTGGTTGAAATGCGTAGAAACCTGACTAACAATCAGGTTTCTACGCATTTTAACCAATGAGAAACGTGCTTCTTTCTGGGAACAGACCTAATTTGACCGGACAATTACTTAGGTACCAGAAAAAGAAATATACAGTTCTTTCATTTGTTTTTCAACACTTTATGACGCTAGCAATCAATTGGATTGATTATTTTACAAATAATATTAAATTATCAATCCAATTGATATATGTATACTATTTATTAAAGACTTCTTAATACCGATTTAATATTTTTAGAGCCATATTTTAATTCCGATTTAATAAGCATATAATAAATAGTATATGATACAGCATGATCGAAAAATGGCATCCAGTTGGCTTGGAAATGAACATCGATGACATTGCCCATATAATTTTACATATAAAATGACAGTGATTTTCATTTTATAACCATCGCTGACGCCGTTTTTTTATCATATTGAGCAGAGGCTAACAGTATTTATTTGGAGTTGCGTAAAAACACGATTTCGTCTTTTAGTCCGATTTTTAATGGTTTATAGTCGGTAATATTATTTAAACAAAAATTTTAACGTAAAAATTAAATACCTTACATATACTCCCTTACTAAACATAGTATATTTTTTTTTTTCTTGTAAATAACATTCTTATCGTTTGCATTTTATGCCCATGATGTTTGTTTAGGGCTTTTGTTCAAGTCTAAATATTGGTGCCTGACTCTATGCCTTATCACCGCCGCGCGGTAGAAACGAACGATCGCATTGTGATCCGATTCAATTCTCACGATTCTTTTTTACGGCTCATCGTTCAAATCTTATGGATCCGTGCTGGCCACGATTCAGTTGGACGAACCGTATGGTAAGCAATGAATCAATTCTCACAACTTTTTGAACGAACGATCGCATTGTGATCCGATTCAATTCTCACGATTCTTTTTTACGGCTCATCGTTCAAATCTTATGGATCCGTGCCGGCCACGATTCAATTGATCAAACGGTATTGTAAGCAATGAATCAATTCTCACCACTCTTTGAACGAACGATCGCATTGTGATCCGATTCAATTCTGACGATTCTTTTTTACGGCTCATCGTTCAAATCTTATGGATCCGTGTCGGCCACGATTCAATTGAACGAACCGTATTCTAAGCAGTGAATCGAATCACGATTCATTTTTAATACTCGTTCAAATGAACGATTCGTTCAAGCTTTGCCCGCTTCTAGGACATACTGTACATTGGTTATACGAATCCTAATTTTTTAATAAAACCTGTATTTTAAATGTCCTCTATATTATAACAATTAAATTTGAGATTTTTTTCTCTTTTCTGTGTACATTAAGCATCGACAGTGATAAAAAAACACACACACAAAAACAGCTTACTGGCAAAACACAGGCGTGCGTTCCATAAAACCACTTCGGTCGCAAAGCAATTACCCCATCGGGGTTATTACTGTAAAAGGGAGGGTTGTAGTAAAAAGACCCTGTTCGTTCGATCGACTGCTGTCGACCCTCTGACCAAATAAAGCACCCTACGTCAAGCGCTGCAGGGGGAGGGGAAGGCAGATGACTAGATCGACCGTAGATATCCGGTATACAGGATGGCCCAACGTTTTCAACTTAGATTAAATACAGGGTGATTCTCTTACCTTGATTTCATGCATATTTTTATCGATAGGTTTGTAGGTCGTGAATAACGGGCTAGGTAAAGTATCTAGCTCATTTGCTAGCTCAGAATTAGAATTTAGAGTTAGTAACTCGCATTTTCATTGGAGGACACTGTCATATTTATTTCAAACCAATAATCAAAGATAATATTCATATAATTTAATAAAATTACTGTAAATCACTATAAATAATGAATTGTTCGTAATTAAGCTGTAATTTCTGTATTATTAATCCGGTAAATGATGGAGATAAACAATTGTGATTGCTTAAAATTTATTTTAAGATGAAATTTTTGTTAACAACGTTCTGAGAATTCGAATAATGAATTGAATATGACGGTGACAATGTCTACAAAAGACACGGGTTTAGAGTGACAATTTGGTTATGTAAAATTTATAGTGACAATTTTGATTATGCGAAAGAAATACATATTCTATGAGTTTACTTGTTTTTTACGATTAATATTAATTTAAAAATAAATCCCCAGCTTGAATAATAAACAAGATTTAAAAAAAACAGACCACAGACTACAGACTACGCACAAAAGAAATTGTTAGTTAGTAGCAATTAGTTGTAGTCAGAGATATAGATGTAGTAGTATTTTGGTTTAATGGCCACAGCTGCCAGGCTATCCAGCCGATTGATAGAATTATCGTTTTTAATAAAATTAAAAAAAAAACATTATAAATTATAAAGCTTTTTGTCAAACGGAAGATGCTGTAAACAAAATTTTCATAGCCCTCTTCGTATCCGAGCTACAGGGTCTTTTTAAAAATTTTGCAATTTTGGACACACCCCTGTATCTCGTTATTTTGAAAGGTATCGAGAAGGTGAAAACTGTTTCCTGTAGAACTATTGCTGCCCTACACGCACGTCCCTGGGGGGGATACTTAACAGTGTGCACTATTTCTCCCCTTTTGCTATTCTGCTGCGCTTGAGTAAATCCTAAAAATTTCCAAAAAAGCCATTGACAGACTAGTTTCCGTTGGGATTCTAAACTCAGAATTATTTTAATTACCTCTAAGTTTTTCATATTTATTTTGTATCACCCTGTATAATATAAAATTCCATCTAAATACGATATCGGGCTTTTTCTAGGACTGTTGGTCACACTGTAGGTATAGAACTGCGGGACTAGGGGAGGGAAGCAGTAGGCATTGTTCCGCGTCGGAACTGGCGACCAAAGGGCCGAAAATACGGTTATTTGAGTGTGAAGTGAATGATAAGGGTAATGAAAAGCGCATGGGGGAGTTGTGTGATTGTGATGTAATCGGTTCGTTGATTACGTCTTGTTTTTTGACAAAAAAATTACGAGCAACGGGTGCATAAGGGAGGATTAAGAGTGTCTTTGTTTTCACCACGATAGAAGTTAGATTAGATTAAATTTTTTGAGGTGACTATCGACCTTTTCAAAATGTCTAACAACTTGGAGCCACCTCGTTATCGTTAACTTATTAGCATGAATCATCTTTTCAGACTCTTTCAAGTTTTCTCGGCAAGAAAACAACAAAAATTTATCAAAAAATAAAGAACAAAAAAGTTACAAGAATAATAATTACAAATATAAGCATAACAAAATGGGCGGTACTTTATTATGGGCTAATATCCCACTTCTGATGGTTAGAAATCAGATTATATTATTAGCAACTTGTATTTTTTCCTTTTCAGATCTATTGTGGTCCTCTTTTGATCTCTAGGTTACATTTCTCCAGTCTTATCCTTTTTAAAAATTCTAGCAACTTAGAGACTCCTAATGTCTGATACAAAGAACCGCACATTTACTAAACTGTTACACTGACATAAAATGGGCTCTGTCCTTTATATAATATCCTTTTTAGTAGACCTACAGCTGCCTTGACAGTCTTTCTGTCTCTGCCTTGATGAATTTCTCCACCGTCTGGAGATCTATAGACTACCCGCTATTTTGTGGCCATTCATGTGCCTAATTAGTCACATGAATTGCTTTTGCAGTGCCGAAGAAGGGTTCTGGGTCATAGATGAGCCTTGTTTAACCATTTTTTCTGCTTTTTTGTTGACAATACATATAGGATTGCGTGGATTTAACACATGACGTCATTTGGAAGACACATTTTACCAGACTGCAACTAATTCCGATCATTTTCTTCTATCAGCCGCGATAATTTTTTAGTTTTGGCACAGCCTATTCATAGTTAGCCTGCATAGTTACGACCATTTGCGTGATATCTGCGCATCTACATAAAAAGTTAGCGACTGGAGCTATGACTGCTGGTTTGTGTACGACTATAAGCACAGCAGATAAAATGCTGATGCTCAAAAACAAGCGAAGATGATCGGCTGCCACTGAATAAGTTGTGGTTTGAACATATTTTTAAAAAAAATTATGAATAAAAAAGCCTTCATATGAATAAAAAAGGGCTAATAAATTGTGAGGTTAATAATATAAGAGCTATATACTCGTATATTTTTTACCTGATGCTTAGCATTGCGTCTCTATAAAATTTATAATTGTGTTTAAACATTATTACATGCTTTATATTTCTTGTTTACTAATATTGTTTTTTTTTCTTTTACAGTACTACGAAATGTCATATGGCCTTAATGTGGAAATGCATAAACAGGTATGACTTTATCATTATATTTTTTATAGTTATAGGTTATAGGAAAATTAATATAATTTAAATAATGAACTTTACTATAAAAAATCATAGAAATACAATAGATCTAGTCTTGTAAATCGTACACTTGAAAACAATTTTCGATTTTATGACAATCAAAACATTTTATTATACTAAATACTAGTCCAAAAACGTAACATAATAAGCGTTTGGCATTTAACGTTTTATGTAAAACTGGCTAGATATTTTTACACAAATGAAGAACTAATTTAAAGATAAAGGATTATACTATATCGGTATAGTAGCACATTTTTAGATAACTTCTTTATTTTTAAGATTTTGGTGGTCAAACATCAACAAAATATTCCTTATGTTTGGACTAAATTTTCTCGAAAATATAGAAATAATTTAAAATTCAGTTGCAATACCGACAAAGATTGAAGTTTTGTGATTACTGTGATTTATAATTCATATGGTTTTGCAACAAATTGTTCGCTATTTTATGGCAAATGCTGAAGCTGTGTAAGCCTTAATCAAAGCACGCGTGTTTGGAATTTTGGGTGTGGCTTAATATGACAGGATCGGGCTAAGCTTTAGACAGATTTCTGAAATATAAGATACAGGGTGTTTCAAAACAAATGCGAAAAACTTCATGGGGTGATTCCTTGTTCAAAATAAAGGGTAGTTTGCTTCATAAACGTTGGGTCAAAAGTCAACCATTAGGGAGATATTGCGGTACAAAGATGGCGGAAAAATAATGTTTTTATTTTTTATCTTGAAAACGAAAAGAGATAGACTAATAAAATTTTATGAAAGCATTACTGTTATAAAAACACACTGTCTGGCAATTTTTTCACTTTTTTAAAGTGAGTGGAAGGGGTTGAAATAAACTACCCCTATCATTCTTGTTAACGAAATTTAAAGAAAAATCTTATCGAACACATGCAAAAAAATTAATTTGGATAGTTTAGTTTGTTCAGAAACTTTTTTATCTCTTGTATTTTTTTGATAAAACTCACTAATTTGAAATTAAAAAATAAAATGTAAAGCATTACATGTCAGGACAAAAAACATTTTCTGATAGTGATGGGCAAAACTGTTATTTTTAGATAACAGTTGAAACTGTTATAGTTATTTATAAAAAACAGCTTAAAATAACAGCTTAAAAATAACAGGTTTCTGTATTTTATTGCTAAATATCTGAAAGAATATGAGGCGGTCACCGCCAGGCGTATTAACGCAGTTGCAACAATGACGTGCTCGGTGGTAGTATTTCCAGGGTGTCATAACATTTCTAAATATCGATTGTTATCTAAAATACCTCTCTAAAAACGGGGGTTGTTTACAAATAAGCGCTGTTTACAAATTGCGATATAAAAAAGCCAAAATGCCGCCACTCGTCTATATCTATAAATTCCGATCTACCTACGCCCTACCCCTCGATCCGCGTAGATTCTGAATTGCGTAGCAGTGTACAGGGTGCATCTCACTCGACGGGCGAGAAGCTCTTCGTTATGATTTTACCATTTGCGGTCAAAAAATAGCAATATAAGAAAATGTGTAGTATATTCTTCATAAGTAAACCAACTACACACTAGAGTTCGAATTAATTTTACACTTAAACTAGCATGTACAGTTTGACAAATATAGGAAGAGACTTGGGGATAGCACCGGTCGCGCACACGATAGAGAGAGAACGCATTCGGCGGAAGAGAGATGCAGTTACGCTACGAAAAATCTGATTGAAGCAAATTTGTGGGATGTCCACTGCGCATCGGGGGGCGTCTCTTATTTTATATTTCTCACGTCTCTAGCTATACTTGTTAAGTTGTACCCGCGACTTCGTTCGCATCGAATTATTAATTTGTAATGGTGATGATAAAGCAAAGCAAGAATTTCCATTAACATACAAACTGGATAAAATTTTCTCACATTTGCCAAAAATATGCTTTAAACGTCGAGCAGTTTAAGCAGAATCGTGGTTAATCAATTACTCAACTTTTTGGAACACCCTGTATTATTTTTTAAAAAATTTCAAAATATGTAAAAAAACAAAATAAATTATGCGTGTCCAATCGTTTTCCCGAAAGACTAACCGTTTTTTAAATAATAAATATTGTAATATTTGAGGGGCGTTTTCACCCTCTTGGAATTTGAGATTCGAGAAACCCCTCCTTATCGCACCTCTACACCCCACAGTCAATCCGTTTACCAAAAATCAGCTTTAAACGTCAAGCAGTTTAAGCAGAATAGTGATTACTCAGTGGTCATATTTTATGAAACACCCTGTATATATTTTGTAAAAATCTCAAAATATGTAAAACAACAAAATAAAATATACGTGTTTAAGAGTTTTTTCGAAAAACTCACCAGTTTTTAAATAAAAAATATTCTAATATTTGAGGGTGGTTTCACCCCCTTAGAATTTGAGTTTCGAAAAATCCCTTCTTATCGCACCTCTACACCCTAAAGTCAATCCGTTTTCCAAAAATCAGCTTTTTACGTCAAGGGCTTTAAGCAGGATCGTGATTAATCAATGACCAGATTTTTCAAAACACCCTGTATACATTTTTAAAAAATCTTAAAATATTATTCTGAAAATTTTTCAGAATAAATAAATACTTAAATATTGAAACTTAATAACAAAGTATTGAAACATACAGCGCCATAATATCTCGACCTCCGCCCGTTATGCTCGTAACAGGTTGAAAAACAATATGTATCTAAAACAACTGATGCGTTATTCTCCAACCTGTTTCAAACCTCCGATTATCTCGAACGCCGTTCTGTTATGCTCGTAACAGGTAAAAAAACAACATAGCTAAAACAACTGATGCGTTATTCTCCAACCCGTTGCGAGCCTCCATCGACAATCGACCGATGCAGCAGCGCTCCTTTCCCACTCCTGTTATCTCGACAGCCAGGCGTTATGCCCGCAACTGTTTCAAAAAAGCTGCTTCTTTTATATCCTATTATTTTTAAGCTGTTGTCAGCCCAACACGACGCGCCGCGCCGTAGCGCATACCCCACTCCGTTGTCCGTTGTATCTCGCCGCCTGTATCGATGGTTGTCGAAATAATAGGTTTTCCATCCATACTAGTTGTTTTTTGGAATTGCTTCGAGCAGCATCGAATTTCGTGGCGGTGCAGAGCGCCGACTTCGTTTCACGAACACTCGATCTCTGCGTGTTGTTATTTTATATCTGTTATTTTTTAAAAGCAGTAACGGTTGCGTTATGTTATTTCTAAATAATTGTTATAAAATAACAGATAGTTAAATAACAACCCATCACTATTTTCTGATAAAGAATCTAGTGGACTGCTGTAATTTTTTTAGGAAAAAATCTAGTCGGCCGCCGTTACTTTTTAGGATGTTCCTAATATTATTTTATTTGACATTACTCTACTGCAATACGTTATTATCTAGATGATTATTATTATCGTTATTATCACTAGATTCTTAATCTAAAAATGTTTTTTGTCCTGACATGTAATGCTTTACATTTTATTTTTTAATTTCCAATCGGTGAGTTTTATCAAAAAAACACAAGAGGTAAAAAAGTTTCTAAACAAACTAAGCTATCCAAATTAAAGCATTTGCATGTGTTTGATAAGATTTTTCTTTAAATTTCGTTAACAAGAATGATAGGGGTAGTTTATTTCAACCCCTTCCACTCATTTTAAAAAGTAAAAAAATTACCTGAAAGTGTGTTTTCATAACAGTAATGCTTCCATAAAATTTTATTAGTCTATCTCTTTTCGTTTTCAAGATAAAAAATAAAAACATTATTTTTCCGCCATCTTTGTACCGCGATATCTCCCTAATGGTTGACTTTTGACCTAACGTTTATAAAGCAAGCTACCCTTTATTTTGAACAAGGAATCACCCCCTAAAGTTTTTCGCATTTGTTTTGAAACACCCCCTGTATATTTCCTTCGGCCGCACACCCCCTTTATCCGACCCCTGAGAGCGACCCGAACAGTACAGCGTAATAGACTCTTAAAAACAATAGTAATTTTCATAACGTTTTATCTGTTAGAAAACCGACAGCAGTTCTCTCTCTTTAAGATGCCATTGAAAGCCCATTCTACACAAAACGTCAAAGACCTGTCGTATTTTTTTATAATTTTAGACGGTCCGTTTTACCTGACATGTAAAACGTTATGTGTAGTAGGGACTTAAAGGGCAAAATCAATCAGTTAATTTTACTATCGCGTTTTATTTGTTTAGACTGAAATGGCCAAACGACTGAACGCCATCATTGCCCAAGTCATGCCCTTTTTAGCCCAGGAGCACCAGCAGCAAGTGGCCAGCGCTGTGGAAAGGGCCAAAACCGTCACCATGACTGAATTGAACGCCATCATAGGGGTAAGCGTAAGTGTATATTTTTCATTTTATTTTTATTTCATTGAATTGCATTATTGTATTTTTTAAAGGGAATAAGGGTTTAGTGTGTGCTAGTTTAGTGTGATAGACAGCGATAAATTTTTATACAGGGTGGTACGAACTGTATTCCGGAAACTCCGGCAGTATATTCTGTACATAAAAATAACTAAAAAAGTTGGTATAAACTTATGTCCTAAAATGCTTCGTTTCCAAGATAACAGGGTGTAGAAATTTCATTTTTATTTCGATTTTTTTCTAATAATTTCTAAACTAAATTTGGTGTTTGAATGAAAGTTAGTATCTGTATTTTTTCTAACATAGGAAATTTTATTTCGATGTCAATATGACTCCTACTCATAGACTTAAAATAAAATATAGACTACACTATTTACATCTCAACGCGGTCAAAGAAGCTTTTTTATACACATGTTTACTTCTGGGTACAGTCGACCGAGCCTTCCTCATCCAGCCTATGTTGTCACGTCTTTATATTATCAATATTTTTTTTCTTGTTATACACATATATTGAGATATTAATACTACAGTTTAATAAAGTAGGTTTTAATATTCTATAGATGTATTAAATAGTCCTTATATTCCTAAATTATAAGTGGGATACTGTTTAATAAGGATAAGTTCTTTACAATATGACAACACCGATTAGAGGCGAGGGAGCCTATTCATTCATTTATTACCTTGTAGTACGTGTCGCAGGTGTGCGGTAAAGTTTTGTTGCCGCTATCTTCCCGGCTGTATTAACGCATTTTCTTAGCTTGTAGTCCTTAAGTGTTTATTTTATTGACTTTTTCTGTTCAAAAACTATAAAATATGGTTCGCCAGTGCCAAATTTGCAAGAAATTTGACTTAAATAATCCATTTAAGTCTTGAAACGACTTTTGACCGGTAGACAACTCTCAATTTACCCATTGGGAGTCAGTGGCGTTGTTGTAGAAAGGCGCTTATTTAGATAATAGTTTAGTAAAATGTAAAATCTGAATTTTTTCTCTTACATTACATTATTTACTTACTTACATTTTAACAAAATCATAATTATAACCCTGTTAATAATTAATAATGTTTTTATTAAAAATATATTCCGGTTTATTCTAAAATTATCTTCAGAATCTAAAATAACATACAAGAATTTTAAAATGATATTACATTATGAAACAATATTTTTTAATATACCGGGTCGTCTCAAAAGTGGCTCACCCCTATAACTTTTTAATTTTTTCAGATAAAAAAAACAGATTTGTATGTTAGTAGGTATATGACATAAATTAGGATTTATTGACATATTCAATTGTTTTTGGTCTCTTCCTGTTTCACCGAAATGATTACATCTTTTGATTTTTAAAGGCACCCTCGGTATATTGCTACTTTATTCAATAGAAAATGACACTCTGAATAGAATGACATATCATATGTCAACTTTTGACATTGTCGCTTAAAAACATATCCTATTTTAAATTTCAATCCGGGGTGCCATGGTGTTGTTAAAAACACTAAGTTTTAATCAAGGAGCCTTGGAAAAATAGTTTTGATCGTCTAATAGGTTTCGTGTCTTGTCTAGGCCGGTTAAAAGATGTACAAATCGTATTTTTAATCATACATGTCAATTTTTTCAAATGGAACAAGGGTGACTCATTAGCATATTTGGAAAAAGCATTTTTTTATGAATATATTAATACCACACACTTGGTATTTCGAGTCAAATTGTCGTTATGAACCGCGTGTTACAATTACAATTAAACCATATGCGAAAATGTCAAAAGTTGACATATTATATGTCATTCTATTCAGAGTGTCATTTTCTATCGAATAAAGTAGAAATATACCGAGGGGTGCCGTTTAAAAATTAAAAGTTATAGTCATTTCCGGTGAAACAGGAAGTGACCAAAAACAATTGAATGCGTCAATCAATCCTAATTTATGTCATATACTAACATACTAAATCTTGTTTTTTATTGAAAATATAAAAAATTATGGGGATGAGCCACTTTTGGGACACACCCGGTATAATAAAGACAGTACCGAGTTAAATAAATATAGTTTTCATTTTATCCACTTCCTATCACCTTCCTTGCTTTAATGGAACAAATTTATGTTATCTCTAATTTACATAATAAGGCATCACTTAACCAGAAAAAAAGCTACAACAATCATATTTTTTTTTCTCTCGCTGTCGCCGATTCTATTATATCTGTGGAATAGATCCTGTTTTGATTAATATTAGGGGTTGTAAATGTTTGACTAAAATTAATAATTTATTATTAATTTCAAAAATTACCTAATTTCGATTATAAAATTTCTTCTATAACGTGTATTTTATTATTTTTATCCTTTTCTAAGGGCTCTAAGGCGTTTTTTTCTAAACTTTTATTTAAAAAACCTGTCCTAAATCTTAATAAAATATAAAAAAGTTTAAATACGATATATTTTTAATTTAATTATAGCTTCATTAAAATAAAAAATTTACCCGGCTATGATACGGAGAGTTCAGCTGTACTTGAGAAACGAAAGACAGTGTTGTGTTTCTCGGCAGAGTTGTCAGGTAACGACCGTTACGACAGAGACAACCTATCTATCACTCGTGTCGCACTCGTTATAACCTAAAACAATAACACAACAACATCATAACAATAACAAGACATTGTCTGACCGCATGTTCGAAATATTTATGAATGAGATGCTCAGTCTATATTTTATTTTAAGTCTATGCTCCTACTTGTAGGAGGCGCCACCTACCTCATTTTTAACCGTTTTGAAGAGTAATAACTTTTCGTTCGTTCCTATATTTCACTACTGAGTCATAAAATATACATTTGTGCCTTTTTCAACGTAAAAAACCGTTCTCGAGATATTTGGATTCTTAATAATCAATTCATGTCAACAATTGTTTCGAAAATTATTAATTTACTCAAATCTACTAAAATGTATTTAGTGAATATGTTTAATTTTTGTCATTGATGGGCATCTATTGATTATTAAGAATCCGAATATCTTGAGAACGTTTGCTCGCAGCGATTTTCACCAAGAAACATTTTTTGTAGTATAATACAGGGACGGACGAAAAGTTTATACTCTTCAAAACAGTATAAAAACATTTAGGTGGCGCCCCCTATAAGTAGAAGTCACATTGACATCGAAATTAAATTTCTTATATTCAAAAACCCCCAGATACCAATTTTTCATCCAAATATCGACATTAGTTCAAAAATCATTTCGAAAAAATCGAAATAAAAATGAAACTACACCCTGTATCTCCGAAACGAACCATTTTAGTACATAAGTTTATACGAACTTTTTTACTTACTTTTATGTGCAGAATATGCTGCCGAAGCTTCCGGAATACAGTTCGGACCACCCTGTAGAACGATGCTAAAAAACTATAGAGAAATCAATAAATATCTATAAATCTATAAAAAAATATTTTTTTTAGAAAGTTTATAAAGTGCCTCTTAGTATTTTGTGTCTAAAAAACACAATTTTTTGATTTTTTAAGTATCTGCAAATAAATTTAAGATAATCGCAGACTATCCAATCTGTAATAAAGCCGCTACAGGGATATAGACTTTTTTTCGTAAACAAAACACTCAAAAATAATCATCAATAAAATTTAAGATGATTAAATACTTGAGTTAATATAAAATAATTATTAGAGATTAACTAATCTTAAAATCAATTAATCTTTTCATATATAAATACCTGAAATTACTCTCAAGTATTAATTTTAACGTACAGGGTGATTCAAACTTACCGCCCTTGGCTTAAACAGGAAAAGGGAAACTGCAAATACAAATTTCGAAGACAGGATTTGAATGGCAGTGTGTAAGGTACCGTATGATCGAATAAAAACGGCGTCCAGTTGGCTGGGAAATGACGATCGATGACATTTCCCATATAAATTTACATACAAAATGACAGCGATCTTCATTTCATAGCCATCGCTGACGCCGTTTTTTCTCGATCATACGGTATATTTTTTCGTATTTAAACATTTTTCAACTTTTTTGAAAATGGTGGAATTGACGTCAAAAAAAAATATTTTTTTTACAAAGTCATCATTTTTTTTTCATATTCGGAAAGAACATATTTTTTAAAACAACTTCAACAAAATTGGAAAAATTCCTTTACTTTGAAACTAAAAGAACTGCCTACCAACTTTTTATTAACATATTTTAGTATGGGCGGCTATACGTGCCTCCCGGCGCCAATTTTTTTATTATAGCATGCATATTTAAATTAGTAGTGGGAACTATCGAATGAATACTATCGAAACATTCGTTGAAAACTATTCGAATAAAAATTATCGAATAGATCCGTCATCTGCCTTGAAATATTGTATTCTAGTAATTCGGCAGCAAAAACCATTCATTTATAAAATTCATTCATTTATGAAATTCATTCATTCGTCAGGATCGATTATAATAAAATATTAACTGAATTTTAGCCCGGCGACGTAGGTTTCTTTCCGAGAAACCCGACAGCGGTCGGTGGCAATGCTATGAAAGAAGCCGGCATCTTTGATTTTTGCGGAGTCAGATATAGATAAGGACACATTATTTTTTTATTGAGGTGCTAGTATTTACACAGAAAATACATTATGAAAGGCGCTGTTGCCATATTTTGGTATTAGTTGATATTAGCAAAGAATATTATTGTTTGGCTTTAGTTAATTAGGGAATATAAAGACATACTATCTATTCTGCATTTTTTTTATTAATATTCTGTTGTTACACTGCAATAATACTTGTTATTTTGGATGTAGGAAAATTATTTTTAATGTTTTTTAGCAAAGACTGGTTTAATAAATAATAATAACAATAATAATTTGTTATACCTATTAACAACAAAATTTAAAATCATTTAATATAAATATTTTCTTTTAAGTAGTAGCAAAATATAAACAACAAATTAGATGTCAAAATTATTTATATTAGATCCTATTTAAAAATAATATAGTCTCTAAATTTTTTGGCAACGGT